CTCTTCCAACTCTATGATGCTATGATTCTAGCCATTGCGTTTACATCAGTTGATGTTTTCCATGGCAGTGGGGCAGTAAATTCACTCTAGGTTTTAATGAATGTAAGCCTCTTAGGACAGAGAACTATCCGCCCATTGGATCTTATCCCATGGAGGCAAATTGCTTAAATCTCATGCAGAAACGGGATTTAAAAATAAAAAAAGAACAACCACAAAAGCACGTTTTTTTCAGAAATGTTTGTGTAAAGGAGAAATAACGCGGCATTAACTCAAATGGAAAGTTGCAAAAACCCACTCCTTTTTATTTTCAGATCCTGAAAGTAAAAAAGAGTGGGTTTTGGTGACTTTCTGTTCGGGTTAATGTTGTGTTATTTCTCCTTGATGCCAACGTTGTGTGAAAAACAATGTCTATTTATTATTATTTCTATTTTCTGTTTGGGTTAACCTCGAACATCGTGTGAACAACAATCCGCTTTTGTGGGTTGTTTTCACTTTAAATCCAATTTCTGCACGGGATTCGTCCTGTGTCATAAACTCCATTATTTCTCAAACACAGATCTGCGCAACTTGGCAGTAGATAGGGTCCAAAATTAAAATAGGCTAAACTTCTTAGGGCCACAGATAGGCTTTAATTAAACAATTAATTAATAATATTAATATAATTAATAATATTAATTAGAATTAATTAATATTAATGCCGTCCTCTTCCTCCTCCTCTGCCCGTCCCTCTCTTCAGGAGAAAGCTGAGTGGCAGAGGAGCCTTGCCTGTTCTCCTCCTCTGCCCAGACTTCTCTGTCCTCTTCCTTCCTCCTCCACCACACATCCTTCTCCTCAGAAGAGTGTCAGGCAGTGGAGGAACCTTGCAGGGCAAGCATTTGCTCATCCTCCTCTTCCTTCTCCTCCACCTGCGTTGGTCCTTGGGTTAAAGCTGAGCAGTCGAGGAACCTTGCAGGACATGTCTCCTCCTCCTCGTCCTTTGCCCAGCCTTCTCCTTAGGAGAAAGCCAGGTGGTGGAGGAGCCTTGCACGGTGAGCATTCGCCTTTCCTTCTCCTCTTGTGCTCTCTGGAGAAGGCCAAGTAGTAAAGGAGCCTTGAAGTCATTCCATATCCTCGCAGGCTACCTAAAATCCCTTGTTGGGCCACATGTGGCCCCCGGGCCATATGTTGTGCAGACCTGCTCCAGAGGATTCTGTAGGAGGAGAAGAAGGGGGCTCCTGGGCATGTGCAGATGATGACTCAGGGGGATAAGCCTCAGGGAGAACTAGCTCTTGGCTGCTGCTTCTGACTTATGGCAACTCTCAGGCCAGCCTTTCATGGGGCTTTCTAGGCAAGATTTCTTTGGAGGAGGCTGGCCATGGCCTTCTTCTTCCTCCTCTGAGGAGGAGACTGAGAGAATGTGACTACTGGCCCAAGGCCTCCCAGTGGGTTTCATGCTGGGAATAGGACCCTGTTTTCCAGAGTCCTAGTAATAGTCCAACCCTGCACCCGCTCTGCCCCTACGTTGGCTCTACCTAGCTTTGACTTAGGGCTGCCCTAAGTCAGAAACACCTTGAAGGCACCTTGAAAGCCAGGTGGTGGAGGAGCCTTGCAAGGTGAGCATTCGCCCTTCCTACTCGTCCTCTGCATGACCTTCTCCTCTGGAGAAGGCCAAGCAGTAGCGGAGCCTTGAGGTCATTCCACATCCTTGGGGGCCACCTGAAATCCCTTGTTGGGCTGCATGCGGTTCCTGGGCCATAAGTTGTGAAGGCCTGCTCAAGCACCTTCTCCATGGCCATTGCAGCAAGAAAAGCATTACCAGCAGGGATGAGGGGCAGAAGAGTGGAACATTTTTGGAGCCATTGCCTTGCAAACCATATTAATTACGCTCACTAAGGTCCTTTCCACTTCCTTTGTTTTGGTGGGGATATGTGTAGAAGGGCAGTGTTCTCACAGAGCAGTTTTTTTGATCCCGCTGCCTTATTTTCTCTTTAACAAATTACACAATCATCTGAGAGTTTGAAAAATAACTCTCTGAAGCTTACATACCTCTGGACAGTAATTGAGTTCATCTCCTGGTGTGGCAGCTCAATTTAATTAAACCTGAAGCACTGAGAAAAAAAAGAGTAGTTAATGTATTATGGATCGACTTATTTTATTAAGCAGCGGATTAACGGCCATGTTCATAATGCATAGTCTTTTATGCGGTGGTTGCAAATGTCTTTGCTCTATAATAGAGATGTCCACTTATACCAGCTTGCCTTGATCCAAAGAGTCCTTTAAATCTGCCTAAAATCTGGAGGCCTTTTCACTCCCAGCAACTTCAATCACATGATGGCGCAAAACGCCGTCTGCAAAGGGGGTTTATAGCCAGGGAAATCCCCTGTTTTCAGACATCTGTCCATGCCCGATAAAACATCCTGCTAATATTTTTGCCGTGGGGTAAAAAGTCTGAGGCAGGTATTTTAACTTTTAAACCCCCCCCCCCCCACAAAAAGAGTTACAAAAGATTGCAGCAATTACAGGGTCATAACATTAATTTCCCATGCAAACAAAATTATGCTCAATATTCTGCAGCCTCGACTCCAATCATATATGGAGAGAGAATTGCCAAATGTCCAAGCACGGTTCAGGAAAGTGAGGGGCTATGCAGATGGGCAAAAAGGGGTGCTTTGAGGGTGACTTGTAGGTGTGGCCTTTAGACGACGCACGCCCTCCAGTCGTCATATGCTGAGAAAGGCCGCTCCAAAAAGTAGCCGCTTTTTTACACTCCTTCGGTGAAAATTCGCATGTGTGTATGTATGCAGCAACACTGATGCACCAGAAAACAGCCGTATAAATGCACTGTTGCACATGCGGCGGAAGCTGACTCGGCGATCCAGAGCATGCGCCCTACAATGCAAGCTTAAATTTAAAGTGCCCTATACTTCCAGGTATGGATGCACTGGTGCAGGAGTGTTTGAATATTAGAACCATAACCCTAATTGTAACCATATGCATGCGCCCTAGCAACTGTCCTTTGTTATGACAATAAATGCATTCTGTTAGATGTACGCTTGCTGTCAGCATGCACAGCAGTTTGCATGAAAGAGGCTTTTGTGACCTCTTCTGTGCAGGTGTGCATAAGACCTGCACACCACTTCCTGGTATGCTCTTGGAGTAATGTTTGTCCATGTGTCCTGTTGACCATGTCCTTTGCATGACCACCAGCTGCATGTATCAAGTCTGTCCACACAAACCTCACTTGCATGTACCTCTCCCCTCCTCCCTGATCTATGTGGGACAAGTTTTATGGAGACTGATGGAGTGTCTTTTCAGTTGACAAATCCGTTCCTTCACCCCAAGGGTGGCACAATCAGACAGTGGCATCTGTCTACTGCACCCACTCTTTGGGGGGAAGTGGAGGTCAGTGAATCCTTACATGATATGTGGGTGTATGACAGATCCTGTGCAGGTGCACAGGGATGCTGAACTTTAAGCACCTTTGTACACAGAGAGTGACAGACGGTATACTAGCCTATGACAGTTCCTGTGCAGGTGCGCAGGGATGTTTTCCTGCACAGGTGCGCAGGTGTGGAGAGATGGTTCTGCACACGTGTGCATGCATTTGAGAACAAACAAAATTAAAGCAGCCGCTGCCGGCCCGTGCGGTTGCTCCGTCTCCTTTTGCGGCGTCCTTGGGGCTGGCGATGCAGTTGTTGGGGCTTCAATACAGCCTTGGAAAAGCTGCATTGACTTCACCCAGTACAGTTGCTCCATCCCCATTTAGAGCATCCTCAGGGCAGGCAGTGCAGTTACTGCAGGTTAGGGAAAAGGCAACTTCAGGTCACCTTTTCCTGCCCGTTTGCATAGCCCCAAAGTGGCACTATGGACCACATCTCAAACATATGATCAATAATGGAGTGAGCCAAAGAACTCCAGAAGAAAATCAGCATGTGCTTTATAGACTATAGCAAGGCCTTTGATTGCATGGATCATGAAAAGTTTTGGAATACTCTGAAAGAAATTGGAGTGCCACCACATCTGATAATCCTGATGAGAAATCTGTACATTTGAAATGGTCAAATTTCAGACCCCTCCTTTGAGTCTCTAGAAAAACTCAGCAGTGTTTATACCTCTATGTGGTGGTGTATGGAAAGCTCCACATGATCAGTGGTGTCTGATGGCCCCCATGAATTTTCTGTGAGTTAATATTTAATTTTATATTTAATTTTAAAGGAATTGTCCAAGGTACTGGAGCTCTTTAAGATCCTCAGGAGAGGGATTTCTCTTGGTCCCACCATGATCTCAGGAACATTTGGTGAGGACACAGGAGAGGGCCTTCATGGTGGCTGCAGACACAGGAGAGGGCCTTCATGGTGGAGCAGACCCATCACACTGCTAACATGGAATCCACCAATAGCTGCTGACACACAGAGGACATACAGTCAGTGAGCCTACATAGGGTATAGGAGTGGGAAAATATTCAGAAATACATGAAAAATGGTGAAGAACATGTTTCTTCAGTGTTAGGAAAACCTGATGAGGAAAATCCTGGACTGATGAGAATCTTCATGGTTCAGACTTATTCTGTGCAAAATTCACATGTGGTGTGTTGCATAGAAATCACCAGTTTTTTGCATAGAAATATTTTCTGTGTAGAAGTGTTGGGCAGAATTCAGTAAGAGACTTATGCCTTTGTAAGTAAACTT